ACGCCGGGTTCTCACCGGACCAGGCTCTAACATCACCAAGCGCGAAGCGCCGTGAGCTATTCGGCGAGTCGCACGAAGGGTGCGCTGCATCTTGCTAAAGGTGTTCGGCATCTTGTGCTTACTTCCTCGCGTGCGGATGACAGCTGCGTATGACTTTATTTATTTTCTGGTCCTTTCACTTCCGGAGACATTTGTAAGCACTGTGTAACTGCTTCGAGGGTGCTTGACCAATTTAACACAACGTGGTGCGATCATCCCCCTTGCGCAGAGTGANNNTGTGTAACTGCCTCGAGGGTGCTTGACCATTTTAACACAACGTGGTGCGATCATCCCCCTTGCGCAGAGTGAGGGTTCTCCACCCCGCACAACATAATCTACTCGACCATCACTATGGTTACCGCAAAAAAAAAAGCGAAGGCAAAAAAAAAAGGTTAACCTGGTTGCTGCGCTCACGGAGCGATCGGCTTGTTTTACAACATCGCTGCCAAGCGANTACTCTTATGTTTTGCATGTCTTAGCGGTTAGACCATTGACCACGCGTCCTCGAGAGGACGGAGCATTGTTCCCACAGGACCGATCACCGATGGCCAATCGTTCCTTTCTACTTTGCCAAAGGTGGCTCAAAAATGTCTTCCCTAGTCTGTCTATCCTAACGATATCCCTTCCCGCCTTTTCAACCCACCTCCTATGCCCCAGTACAGCTACCGTCCTTTCCTCTCTATTACATGCCTCAAACATCCACGCNGACCACGCGTCCTCGAGAGGACGTAGCATTGTTCCCACAGGACTGATTGCCGATGGCCAATCGTTCCTTTCTACTTTGCCAAAGGTGGCTCAAAAATGGCTTCCCTAGTCTGTCTATCCTAACGACATCCCTTCCCGCCGTTTCAACCCACCTCCTATGCCCCACTACAGCTACCGTCCTTTCCTCTCTATTCCATGCCTCAAACATCTCCCTGTACGTTCCATCTATTTTTCCCAGCTCAGTCACGTACACTTCCCTCTCCTTCTTGTACAACGGACATTCCGCGACTACATGAACACGGTCTTCGTATTCGAAGCCGCAATCACATTTCTACTCGTCGTCTCGTCGTCTACCGTCCTATGTCTTCGTCGACGTTCTCGAAGGCCTATGTCCCCGGTCCTGAATTTGACCT